AGATTGTGGGTTTCATTGGTGCTATACTGCACCCTGACTGCCTCTTCTCTTCCTTGTGGCCCTTCTGACAGGGGGTGTCCAATTGACTACTGATGGGCTTTGGGTCTCCACTCTGCCCTCCCCCTCATTCACATCGACATGATTTTTTTCTTTTTAAACATTTGGTATTGGCAGCTAGGTACCATCGAGTTCTTCTGGTCTTCTGGTGACTGATGTTTGTGTGGTCCATTAATCCATTGGACTAATTGTTTCCATGTGTCTTTTAATTTTCATGGCCCTTCATTCCTCTGGATGCAGAGAGAACAATATTTGCATCCTAGATAGCTCATGCTTTTAAGATCCCAGTCACTACTCACCAAAGTATGTATGTAGAACACTGTTTGTGTGAACTGTTACTCCACTTGACCTTGGTGGCCCATGAACTCCAGAGACTCATTCCTTCAAGGTATTTATGCATATATAAATTTTCATAATTTTGCCTCCTGTGTGCTCTCCCATATTCAGGCATATTTGTAGCAAAGGTAAATACACATAGACAAATATCCTCTGTCAAACCTATACATATTTATGGATATCTTCCCACTCTCCTTGATCTACTTATAGATGACCAATATTGCAGGATTGTGTACAAAACAGTATTTATGCTTTACACAGTTGATGTATGTATGGATTGTGATAAGAGTTGTATGAGACCCTAATAAAATGATAAAAAAAAACCAAAACAATATTTGCCTCTGTTGCTTTCAACTCTTATAGACTCCTAGTCTTTTAATAAACACAAGTATTTAGTTTTTAAGAGGTCCTAATTATCAATTTTTTTCTGCTGCTTCTCATGCACCTGTAGTTTTACTTAATAACCTATCATAAGTCATACCCAATGTGAATGGGGGGGCATGGAGTGGAGAGCCAAAGCCAACCTGTAGACAATTGGACATCCCCTCACAGAAAGGTCACAAGGAAGAGATGAGCCAGTCAGGGTGCAGTATAGCACCAATGAAACACACAACTTTCCTCTGTTTTTGGTGCTTCCTCCCCTCCCCCTTCCACTATCATGACCTCAATTCCACTTACAAATCAGATTAGACCAGAACATGCACACTGCTACAGATAAGAGCCTGCAACACAGGGACTCTAGGATAGATAAACCCCTCAGGACCAACAAGTAGAGTAGATATACCAGGAGGATTAGGGGAAGGTAGGGGGAAAAAAGAGGAAACGATCACAAGGATCAACATACAACCCCCTCCCAGGGGGATGAACAGCAGAAAAGGAGGTGAAGGGAGACAGCGGTTGGTATAAGACATGAAAAAAAATTTATAGACATCTATATAAGTGTCCAAACTATAAAATTCATAAAGAAAGCATAAGAGTGTATTTATCAATGGATTGTTAGATATGGCATTAAAAGCATGATCAACAAAAGGAAAATTAGATCCACAGGATGTCACAATTGTACATTTTTAATAAGAAAAGGAGACACAATCAAGAAAGTAAAAAGATATTCTTCAGAAAGGAAAACGAGTATATCACACATCTAATAAAGAGGGAGTATCCCAATTATACGAGAATAAATAAAAGATATTGCTAGCAAAGTCATGTGGTTGATAGATGCCGGCGAGTCTGTTCTGACTCATAGTGACCCGTGTCCAACAGAATGAAACACTACCCGGTCCTGCACCATCCTCACAATTGTTCTTATGTTTGAGCCCATTGTTGTAGCCACTGGGTCGATCCACCTACTTGACGAAGCATGATGTCCATCTCCAGGGACTGGTCTCTCCTGACAATATATCCAAAGTAGATGAGATGAAGTCTCTCCATCCTTGGATCTTAGGAGCACTCTGGCTGAACCTCTTCCAAGACAGATCTGTTGGTTCCCTTGGCAGCCTATGTTACTTCCAATATTCTTCCCACCACTACAGCTAAAATGCACTGATTTTTCTTCAGTCTCCCTTCATCAATGTCCAACTTTCATATGTAGTCAATGTCCAACTTTCATATGCATATGAGGCAATTGAAAATATGGCTTGTGTCAGGTGCTCCTGAGTCCTCGAAGTAACATTTTTGATTTTCAACACTTTACAGTGGTCTTGTGCAGCAGATTTACCTAATGCAGTATGTTGCTTGATCTACTGACTGCTGTTTCCATGAGTATTCATTGTGGATCCAAGCAAGACAAAATCCTTGACAACGTCGATCCTTTCTCCATTGATCATGATGTTACCTATTCATCCAGTTGTGGAGATTTTGGTTTCCTTTACATTGAGTTGTAATCCATACTGAAGGCTGCAATCTTTG